CAGAAGCATTAATTTTTCAATAGAATCAAACCATATCGTTTAATTTGATTTGATTATGGTTTGATCCGATTGAATTTGATCATTTTGTCGACCTCTACAATTTTTTAACCATATATTTGATCACTTCTATCAAAATCGGATATCATCTCTCCACTCTGAGGAAATGGTGGGCAATGGCTGCCCCACCCGGTGTGTTTTCCATAATAGCCTTTGCCCAAGTTATTTGTTAAAAAAAAAAAAGGGAAAAGATAAACAAAATGTGTAGGGTCGAAAATACCCTCATTTAGGAAAGAAGAGGAGAAAAAAGAAGAGAAAAAAGGGAAAAATCTGCTACCGACCGTCGACGTTGCCTACGGACTGCCCGGACCGCACCAACTTCGACCAGGACCAGAGCCACCTCGATTCGCCGGAGACCGTCATTTTCTGGAAGGTTAGACATATTTTCTATAAATAACTACTTTGAATTTGTGAAAGTTTGAATGTTTAGGATATGAATATGGGTTAAATTCATGTTTTTATGGTTAAAATGTAAGAAAATATCGAATTTGAGGTTAAAATGTTGAAAAAAAGTGAAAAAAAGAGACGGAGCTCGCCGAAAATGGAGTTTCCGGTGAGCTCGCCGGTCTGGTCCGTTACGGACCAGGACCATATGACCCGGATCAGTCCGGTCCACACCAGACCCGGATTTTGGTCCGGGTCCGGCTATCCGGCCCAAATTCGGGTCCGGAACCGGATTTGGGTCAAAAATAATTTTTTTTTGTGTTAAGAAATAAAATGAAAAATAAAATAAATAATATATTAAGAAAATTAACGAAATATTTAAAGATAAATTAAATTGAGTTTTAATTTTTTTCTTTTTTACTTAAATATACGTTTCAAATAAATAATCAAAATATAGTAATTAAATATGAAATAAATAATATACATAATTAACGAAATATTTAAAGAATAAATTAAAAAAATATTTTTTTTTACTTAACGAATTATGATAATGAATTAAAGAAATAGTAAAAGGAAAAATCGAATAAATATTATTCAAATAAATAATCGAAATAGAGTAATTAAATATGAAATAAATAATATACATAATAAACGAAATATTTAAAGAATAAATTAAATTGAATAATATTTTTTTACCTAACCAATTAAGATAATTAATTAAAGAAATAGTGAAACGAAAAATCGAATAAATATTTTTATTGTTATTCAAATAAATAATCGAAATAAATAATATACATAATTAACGAAATATTTAAATAATAAATTAGAAAAAACAATATTTCTTTTACTTAACGAACTAAGATAATGAATTAAAGAAATAGTAAAAAGAAAAATCGAATAAATATTATTCAAATAAATAATCGAAATAGAGTAATTAAATATGAAATAAATAATATACATAATTAACGAAATATTTAAAGAATAAATTAAATTGAATAATATTTTTTGTACTTCACCAATTAAAATAATTAATTAAAGAAATAGTAAAAGGAAAAATCGAATAAATATTATTCAAATAAATAATCGAAATAGAGTAATTAAATATGAAATAAATAATATACATAATTAACGAAATATTTAAAGAATAAATTAAATTGAATAATATTTTTTGTACTTCACCAATTAAGATAATGAATTAAAGAAATAGTAAAAGGAAAAATCGAATAAATATTATTCAAATAAATAATCGAAATAGAGTAATTAAATATGAAATAAGTAATATACATAATTAATGAAATATTTAAAGAATAAATTAAATTGAATAATATTTTTTGTACTTCACCAATTAAGATAATGAATTAAAGAAATAGTAAAAGGAAAAATCAAATAAATATTATTCAAATAAATAATCTAAATAGAGTAATTAAATATGAAATAAATAATATACATAATTAACGAAATATTTATAGAATAAATTAAAAAAAACAATATTTTTTTACTTAACGAATTAAGATAATTAATTAAAAAAATAGTAAAAGGAAAAATCGAATAAATATTATTCAAATAAATAATCGAAATAGAGTAATTAAATATGAAATAAATAACACACATGATTAACGAAATATTTAAAGAATAAATTAAATTGAATAATATTTTTTTTACCAAACCAATTAAGATAATTAATTAAAAAAATAGTGAAACGAAAAATCGAATAAATATTTTTATTGTTATTCAAATAAATAATCGAAATAAATAATATACATAATTAACAAAATATTTAAAGAATAAATTAAAAAACAATAATTTTTTTACTTAACGAACTAAGATAATGAATTAAAGAAATAGTAAAAAGAAAAATCGAATAAATATTATTCAAATAAATAATCGAAATAGAGTAATTAAATATGAAATAAATAATATACATAATTAACGAAATATTTAAAGAATAAATTAAAAAACAATAATTTTTTTACTTAACGAACTAAGATAATGAATTAAAGAAATAGTAAAAAGAAAAATCGAATAAATATTATTCAAATAAATAATCGAAATTGAATAATTAAATATGAAATAGATAAAACACATGATTAACGAAATATTTAAAGAATAAATTAAATTGAATAATATTTTTTTTACCTAACGAATTAAGATAATTAATTAAAGAAATAGTGAAACGAAAAATCGAATAAATATTTTTATTGTTATTCAAATAAATAATCGAAATAAATAATATACATAATTAACGAAATATTTAAAGAATAAATTAAAAAACAATAATTTTTTTACTTAACGAACTAAGATAATGAATTAAAGAAATAGTAAAAAGAAAAATCGAATAAATATTATTCAAATAAATAATCGAAATAGAATAATTAAATATGAAATAGATAAAACACATGATTAACAAAATATTTAAAGAATAAATTAAATTGAATAATATTTTTTTTACCTAAACACTTAAGATAATTAATTAAAGAAATAGTGAAACGAAAAATCGAATAAATATTATTATTTTTATTCAAATAAATAATATACATAATTAACGAAATATTTAAAGAATAAATGAAATTGAATAATATTTTTTTTACCTAAACACTTAAGATAATTAATTAAAGAAATAGTGAAACGAAAAATCGAATAAATATTATTCAAATAAATAATCGAAATAAATAATATACATAATTAACGAAATATTTAAAGAATAAATGAAATTGAATAATATTTTTTGTACTTCATCAATTAAGATAATTAATTAAAGAAATAGTAAAACGAAAAATCGAATAAATTTGTAAATAGTATATATATATAGTCGGATAATTAACGAAATATAATTTTTAAATAAATATTAAATAGTCAAATATATGGAAATTTTTTTGTTTAACTGTTTTAATATGTGATTGGATGAATTTATTTATTGGTTTATTAATATGAAATTTGGTTGATTAAATTTGAAGGTACGATATTTTATTTATAATTTCTTTTATATGGTTTTAACATGTATTAATTTTGTAGGAGGGAAAATCATATGGACAACGATCTGAGGGCTCATTTGAGAAAAGTTACGACGTATTGTAACTTTTCCAGCTATGCGACAGTGCTTGAGGGGCTGGACGAGGAGCATATTGACTTACTCCGTCGATCGTTTTTGTGGTCGTTATATCCGTTGAAGGACGTGCAGTTCTCTGGACAAATTGTTGATTCTTTATTACTCCGACTGCTTAAACCAGTCGATGGCGATCGATTATATTTTGCTATGGGGGACAGGAAGGTATCTAGATTCTCGATCCTTGAATTTGCCCTGATTACGGGCTTGAGATGTATCGGGGAAGAAGAAGCTAGAGCCCGTATTATACGAAATAAAAGGTTATTGGATTTATATTTTGGAGGTAAAGGGCCAGTTACACCACCACAGTTAAAGGACGCATTTAGGAGATGCGATCACATGTTAGACAAGTTGAAGTTAGGATTGGTGTATATACTGGAGAGTATATTGAGGTGTCGACATCGTAGGACGTCGATTGATCTTTTTTCATTGAATGTTGTTGATGATATCGATGCTTTCAACAGCTTTCCATGGGGTCGGAGATGTTACACCGATACTCTCCATGTATTCAGAAGGGTACATACTATGCCGAAATCGGAGAGGGGCGATTGCAAATATGATGTATATGGCTTTTGCATGGCTTTGCAAGTAAATATTCAGTGTAATGTAATGCGTGTTAAACTTTTTTATTAAATGTATATGTAAAGTTTTATTTTGTAATTGTTGCAGTTGTGGGCATATGAGGCTATCCCTGCTTTGGGTAGCAAATGGGCGATCAGAAGGGAGACCAGCTGCCCACGAATGCTTCATTGGCGAGCACATGAAAAGCCATCGGCTAAAGATTTGACAGTTATCCTCGACGATCCTCAGGTGAGTATTATATATTTTCAATTTATATTGTACATACATTTACTCGGCTCGATACATGCTTGTTAACACGTTGAAATATGGTATGTCAGCTCGAAGTTCATGCTGAGTTGGTTGTCTCGGTGGAAGAGGAGGATGCAATATATGTACGTGAATTACTTGTTCCCCCTACTGAAGACGATCCAGTATTTGAGTCCGTTCCGGATAGAAATATAGTACGTTTATTTAAGATCATTATTTATTTTGACTTATAAATTCATGTGTGGATTATTAATACTAATTGTCTTCTCTGTGTAGGAGCACCATTCTGAACTTCCACTTAGGAGATCTCCTTTGCCTCCACCGATGAGATCTTCGTCACCTCCACCGATGAGATCGCCTCTACCGCCATTATCTCATTCTCCGAGGATATCTCGGTCTCCCGTACCCACCCACCTCCCACGTGGATCGCCTACACCCAGTCAGACCCGTCATTCAGATGATTTCTTTGCACGCATGACTGGCATTATTAGAGAGGAGCTGGGAACGATGCGACGTGATTTTATGACAGAGGTAGTCGTACTACGAGAGGAGATAGGGGTGTTGCGACGGGATTTTACAACAGAGATCGTCGCAGTACGAGAGGAGATAGGGGTGCCGTGACGAGATTTTACGACAGATGTAGTAGCTTTGCGAGATGAGATTGGAGTGCTGCGACGAGATATAGGAGACCTTCATACTGAGGTTGCAGCACTTCGAGGCGATGTAGCAGGCGTCCGAGGGAATGTCGGGGAGACTGGTGTCCCTCGAGATTGGTGGGCAACGGCCGCAGGAATCGATGAGTTTTTTGGTTCGGTGCCGGAGGCCGGGAGGGAGGGGGTGGAGGTCGGGCAGGAGGAGCCGGAGGAGGCCGGGATGCCCAAGGTGGAGGTCGGGCCGGAGGTGCCGAAGGAGGCCGAGATAGAGGGGGTGGAGGGAGGGACAGGGGTGGTCGAGGAGGTAGCGGAGGGGACATCAGAGGTGGTAGTAGAGGGGGATGATCAGGTTGCGGAGGACGAGAGGACGCCAGAGATGACGGATGACGAGGTAGTATTCGTGTCGGAGGGGGAGACAGAGGTCCCGAAGGGTAAGAAGCGTGCTACAGACGAGCCAGAGCTGATGGTCGGTAAGAGATCAAGATTGCCGTCACAGTACATCGTTTCTCCATACACGGTCGAGGCGAAGAGAAGGGGGTTTGTGGATGGGGCGTTCCCCAATCTTTTTCGCGACGTCGACCCAGTCAGACAGAAGGCGTTCGATGATTGGTTCAAATCCCTTAAGTCCGAGTAAGTATTTTATGATTTTGCTACTATTTTTTTGTATTTTTCGTAACCGTTTTTTCATTTTTCAGAGATAGTTATACCATCGGCTGTATGACCATGCCCAATGCTAAAAAGTGGTTTGAAGATGTACTGACGACCTAGCTTGGCTCGCTGATGAAATAAGTTTTTTGAGTTTCCGTTAATTATATTTATAGAAGTTGTTGGTTCATTTACTTAAATGACTCTATCTTTTTTGTTGGTATTTTTTTGTTTCAGCATATCGACTTGGCTATGGAATTGTTACGCGATCGGGCGCGGAGATACCCGAGATCTTATGACAGTCCTACTCGAGTTATCCTGAGCTCTGAGTTCGTTCGTGTCGTAGAAATTGAGCATCACGAGCTCCTAAGCAAGGGGAAAGATTATGTTCTGTCTGAGTACATGCTGGAGTGGGTGATTGGACTACAGTTGAGGTGTAGAAAGTCGTGGACGGATTGTACACATATGTACATTCCAGTGATCGCGAACTCACACTGTTTTTCGGTGGAGATCGTATTTGCTGATTCCACCATATATGTGTACAACTCTGATCATAGCTGTCTGACACAAAGTCAACTGGAGCAAATACTGGAGCCATTGGCTATGATCGTGCCCATGATGGCTAGTCATGCGATGATTCGAGTAAATGATAGATTAGCCATTGTGCGGAACATGACGACGACGAGACAAGAAAGATCGTAAGGATTTACAACTTTTTAATTTTCAGATTTAATTTTCAATTATATGTTATGGAACTAATATATTCTACTTTGGTTGCAGGGGTGACTGTGGCTTATTTGCAATCAAGTACATAGAGTTCTTGAGCATTGGTCGCAATGTTGATACAATAAATCAGTCTTGGATTGATATGTGGAGGCATAAATTAGCTTGCGACTTGTATGAATATAACTGTGATCCTTAGTGCATTCTATATTATTTTATTAAAATGTAAATGTTGTTTATATCAGTAGGATTCGTGTTGTACTGAAAGAAATAAATAATCGAAATAGAGTATATTGTATGATATTATTTTGAAAATGTAAATTTTTTATTTATTTAATTGTGACTCAAAATTTTAATTTAATTGTATATTTATTGCAATTTTTTAATAGTTGATTTGGATCATATAATGATAATCGGGAATTAAATGGACTAAATCGGATGCAATTGGAAAAAAATGACCGATTCATGTAATATTTGGTTCGAAAAAAGCTTTAAAAATTTTGGGGACCTAATTACAACTTTTTAATAGTTGATTCGAAACATAAAACGATAATCGAGAATTAAATGGACTCAGTTGGATTCAATTGAAACAAAGATGACTGATTCATGTAATGTTTGGTTGAAAATGACTTTAAAAATTTTGGGGACCTAATTGCAAATTTTGGGGACCAATTAAGATAATTATTTAAAGAAATAGTAAAACGAAAAATCGAATAAATATTATTCAAATAAATAATCGAAATAGAGTAATTAAATATGAAATAAGTAATATACATAATTAAG